AAGATCTGGTTTTTGTCTCGTATTGGCCACTTCCTTCCCATTATAATATTTCACGAGGAAGATTACTGAAGATAACTATTAGATAAGAATAGATTTTAAAAGCTAAACTTAAAAGCGAAGGGTTCCGGGTTCGACTCCAGGTCCAGGTGTCTTTTTCGCAATGGATGTTTTAAATTTCATGGGAGGATAAAATGAGTAATTCATATATNTGATGAAAGTTAACATTTTATATGAATTTTAGAATTGAGTTACAATTCAAATTTTCAGTGTATTACTTTTTTTAAAACACGTTCAAANGTGTGTGTGTATGTGTGTGTANATTCATATTTTGCACGTACNTCCAGCGTTTAGCTCTTAAAAACTCTATTCTTGATTTGANTTAGTTTGATACTACGTTAATAAGAAGCTCCACGTACTATCAAACTAAATCAAATCAAGAATAGAGTTTTTAAGAGCTAAACGCTGGATGTAAGTGCGAAACGTGTATCTACACACACACACACACACATACACACACACATTTGAACGTGTTTTAAAAAAATTAATACACTGAAAATTTGAATTGTAACTCAATTCTAAAATTCATATGAGATGCTAACTTTCATCACATATAGGAATTACCCATTTTATCCCCCCATGAAATTAAAAAAATCCATTGCGAAAAAAACATCTGAACCAGAAGTCGAACCCGGAACCCTTNGCTTTTCAGCGTTTAGCTCTTAAAATCTATTCTTGATTTGATTTAAATTAATAAATGTTTACTCACGCAATTCTTCGAACACGTGCAGGAGCTTGCACTATCCAACTGATCATAAGTTTTGTAATTATTTCCTCGGTTGTATTTGCATCGTATAACCGAACAACAGCTACGGAGATATATCAATTTATAATACTATATACATTATATACATCATCATCATACACAATATTAACTTACGCGGTGTTCGAAAATAACTATTTCTGCTGATCAATACTAATCGATGTTTGTTTCATCCTATGCTGATCACAGTGCCGAGATAGACACAAGGAGTCAGCAGAAACAGTCGATTTCGAAATACAACCTTAACGACGTAAATTTTATCTGTGATTAAATTGATAATGGTTACATTTTTACCTATGATTAAATCGACAATTTTGAAACTTCGGAATGCAGTTTTTCCTCGAGCTCCTTTCCAGCTATATAACATTAATATTTCGTCCTTTATTAATGTTTTGAATATATTTTTTATCGTGTCTTGTATATTTGTTCCGCCTTTTAATTTCAAAAAGTTTCTCTGAAATAAGTTGCCATGAAATATGTGAATAATTAAAATAAAACTATGAAATATGTAAATATTGCGGTATCATACATAATTCATAATTGTAACATATAAAAAGAAACACTTACCATTTTCATGAAAAATTCTGCATTTTTCAAATTTTGTTCAAACAATTCCAATTCCTCTATAGAAGAAATGGTGTCAAAAGCAAAAGCTTTGACAGTATTTATATTAATTTCTTGATTTGTGTAATTAGCTTTATNTTCTATTCTACTGAGCCTTCTTTCAATGTATGTCATTTCAATTAAGATGCGATTTACTTTTTTCAAAATTTCCTTTAACACTAAAAATTAAAATATTATGAGTTATAGTCTAAAATATTGTATTTAAAAAGGTCATTAGCAATATNTTTAACCTTTCTGAGAATCTTCATTATTTGTATTTTGATGTGTTGTTAACTTTGTATTATATTCATCGATAGAATAATCATTTTCTTCATTGATTGATTCTTGTGATGATTGATTTTGATTTTTATCTTCCAACTTTTGTTTCTTATGTTTAGCAATCACTTCCGTTTCTTGCAGAAATATCTTCGNTTGTTTCTTCTCAGTTGCTATTTTGTTTTTGACTTCTTCGGATATGATCGGATGTTCATAGGTTGCCAAAATTTGTGCAGGCCTTTTCGAAGAAAACAATTTTTGTGGTCTAGAAAATTCCCTCGAATCTGGTAAAGGAGAAAGTAAGTTAGACTCCACTTCTGTACCGGAAGATTCATCGTCAGACGTAAAATATTTTGCAGCAGCTCTATCATGCCGTGTTTGTTTCATATTTTCTTCATCCTCAGTGTTTATGTCGGATGTATTTTCAGCCATTTTTAATTTTTCTTGGCCTCGTTNAAAAGTATCTGAATGTAATTGTTGACAATTATAAATATAAAACATTAATAGATAATCAAGGCTAGTATTAAATTATATGTCGACAGATTAATGTTGAAAGAAAATCAAAGTTTTCAATACATGGAATTCATTCTTCTTTCTTTGCGGCAATATCGGTCTAATGAATCAAGTCAAAGCTAAACTTTTAATTTAATCTCGGCTATTGATATAAATTCTTGTTTACATTACTTTGATTGTATTCATTAGATCGATATTGTCAAGAAAAAATACAAATGAATTTTATTTGAAAGAAGGAACAGATTTCAATAAATAATTGTATATATACCTGCTGAAGCAAAAACGCGTAGAACATCATACATCACCCAACCAGCTTGTACATTTTTTACATCCGGTATTTCTTTACTCTGTATAGCCTTATTCAGTCTCTTTTTCACTTCGTAATTTGGGTAGAAGCAAAACTGTTGTTNTTGGTCTTCAGATATCCGCAACCAGTTATTAGGAACTAGTGNTATCCCATCTTCAAATTNAATTACATAGAAGTTTTCTGTAAACTACCAACAAAACATGTATAATGATAAATTAATTTATATTGACAATAAATATTACAGTCACATGCATTTTTATATTTACTTTTAAGGAAGATCCTTTCTTCATTTTTTGTAAAGGAAAGTGCTCGCACGTCAGTTCAGACATATCCATGCGAATTAGACATATGCTCTTCTATGCGGCACTGTATATATATCCGGACATAAACCTCTTATAACTGTACATGTAAACAACAAAGTTCTCATTAATAAATCAACTTCATATTCTGATGCATTGACCATAGCATAAATAAAGAGCACAAAAATAAAAATACATTTTTTATATAAAATTAAANATTTAATGTATTGACAATTATATTCGATAAACATTTTGATCATTATGGCTGCTTTCCTTTTAGGAGACACAGTCGACACAAGAGTCATTCTGTCTTTGTTTCTTACTGAATATTGAACGAAGACAGAATGACTTTTGTGTCGACTTGTGTCGACTGTGTCTCTTAAAAGGAAAGCAGCCTACGTTGTCAAAACGTCACACTAATATCTCGGCGACAACAAATGTTTTAACTCTACGTTTTAGAGAAACGACTCATTTGTNAAGTTTTTGCAACATAACAGAAATGTGTCATTGTGCAAAATCGATTGCTATATATGTTACTTGTATGTTGTAATGACGTTATTTTATAACGTTACAATAACGTTATAAAATAACGTTTTCTTGGAACGCGAGACATGTAATTACTGCCGAGATATTAGCATGACATTTTGGTAATGGCCAAAATGTTTACTATTAGTACATATTTTGCTATTGGCAATTAAATAAGTTGCTACAATAACATTTACACAATGCAAAATATGCAAAAGTATTGAAAATCGATGTAAAATGTTGGAAACAAAGAACACATAACCTGCAAAAATCAGCAACGATTTATTATATACATTATTTTTAATGTAAATAGTGANATGCAATCACATATGCATAAACCAAGTAAATTTTAATTCAATTTTTAAAGTGACCTAGTTGTGTTATTTATTTCTTATAACATATACGTATATATATACCTTTATTGAAAATTTCCAGTCTCGGCGAGACGAACAAAAAACGAATGTGGATGAGTATGGACAAGTATCATCGAGTGGTCACAGGTAGGTGCGGTAGTGGCTCGCGGGCTATAAGGGACAGTCCATACANCAAATCAAGTGGTCACAAATATGCAAATCTTCTTAGTTACGTTCATTCACATAATTAACTTTTTTTATTACTTGACACAGCAGACCATGATGCAGACCAGCAGACGTGAGTTGGTTAGGCGGGCGAAAGCGACGAAGTTAATCGATAGTCGTTCGAAATATCAATTTATCGACGTCAACTATGAACTATGTACAGCGTAAANAACCATCGATTGTGTATAATTGCGTAAATGTAAATGTAAATTTATGATGATAGATTTTGATGCCNTGATTTTTTATTATATANAAACATAATTAAATATTAACGTTTTAGCTTTTGTTGTTNATATTTGGAATGATCGTGTTATGACAATCATACAATATGTTGTATTATATTGTTATAATATGTTATATTGTACTTCAAAAATTGTTTTATTGTCCACACCCGTGTCGAATAGAAATTACATACAATTTTGAAATAAATTTAATTTTCCACATCTTTCCCTGTATTTCATCCAAAGGACAAGTTATCACATTATTATTTACTTCCTCAACAGCATAAATGTCTAAATTCTCTGATGAGAATGGTCGTGAATATAAAACATCTGTTTTTCTCAATTGATAACCAACAACATAAGTAATATTATTGGTACATTTAACGACGTTCTTNACTGTCAGTACATTTCCACTTTTTGTCATAATACAATTATTTGCTTCACTGTTGCAGTCGATTTCATAATTTCCTAATAATATTAANTTTTTGTATTGCGATGTAANAATATCTTGAATTTCATCAGCCAATAAACCAGTAGTATGTTTTCTTTTTAATTGAAATTTAGAAAGTGAATGTAATGATGTATTGTTCATGCTGTCATACCAATTTTGCTTTCTTTCTGTGTATCGTCGTATAACTTGCTGCAGTGGTTTTTCTTTTTTGCGCAGAAAACTTTTTAAAATTTGTAAAAAGTTTTCAAATCTAAACGAGCTAAAGGAATCAAGTGGTCCAAATTTTCGAACTTCATTTGAGAGATGTAATAAATTATGTATATTATGAGAAATATATTCCTTGCCATATATTTTCTCAAATGATTCGACAAAATGTTTCAACAGTTTTTCTGCATAATCTACATTGTTTTTATTTACTATTAACATTGGACTGATGAGTATTGATGTAGCTACATGCAAAGTCAAAAAGTGTGTATATATGTCTTTATTTAAAAATGTTTTTAAAACAATAGGACCAGTATAAAGTAAAAATTGCCGAAATTCTGTGGCTTTCCAATATACTACTTCGTTTAGACTTCGAGGTCGCCTTGAAAATTCTTTGGGCACAGCACTTCTTAAATTAATAAGTGCTTGTGAAATATTTTCTTTTACTTGAGCACTAATGCGAACAGCTAATGGTCCACTCATCCACAACAATATCATTTTTTTTACAACGCCTAAACAAATCAAGTGCATATAGTCAAGAGCAATATTCGACACTAATCCTAAATTAGGCACAGAGAGCAAAATTGTAGGTTCTCCTTGATGATAATCAGAGTCTGTTTGACGTACAAACTCTTCGTCAGTTCTAAGTGCACTTGATCTTTTTTCATAAGGGAANCACATTTTGGAGTTAACATACTCTCCATAAATAGTACATTTAGTACAGCTCGAGTAGCCATTATGTCCTTTAATATTTAAAATAAAAGATTTTGCTGGAGCATCACAAATAATGGCCTTAACATTAACTGTAATATCACAGTTAAATAGCTCAGAATGATATCCTTTCTGTACTAATGGTANTAATTCTTCCACAAATTGCTGTAAGAATTCATTGGCATTTTGTGGTTTATTTTGACCATAAAACAGCCCGACTATGTGCACTTGATTTAAAATATCGTCTGAAAGTAATATTGGCCAGAAACAACTTGGAGATGATCTGGATAATGGCAGACCATCTATGTTAATAAGTANATTAATTTCAGATACCTTTAAAGATATACTTTTATAGTGTAGCAAAAGTACTTCCAAAGTGTTCGATACACCAAAGTGATAATACGATCCTCGAGATAATGCAACTATTTCAGCAGTTTTCTTAGGTGTTTTCAAAAGCGTCCTTGCGTCGTTCGGCAAAGTTTTGAATTGTGAATATGGAGCATGTTTTAGAATTTCCATAAGGGCATTAATTGCATTATGCCTAATTTTAAACTNAAAAGACCAATTTCGAAGATTGCGCAACAATTCGTTTTCATCCATCCCATCATTTTCATCGTTAATAGATTCAACATCGTCTGCATCATCGTCACTCGAGTCATCAGAGTCAAACAATAATGGTTTCATTTTTTCTTGTTCTTCACTAAAATCAATAAAATCTTCGCCGTCTGTAATCATTTGTGACGAGTTATTATGTCCTTTATCTGACAAAAATTCTTGTTTTTCATTCAAGTTTGGCAAATGCTGATTGATGTGTTCTTGAAGGAAAGGTAATGTTGAAATTGGTGGTCGATCACTTTCAGATCGAAAACAAGTCGTACCACTGCTTGACGATTCTGTAAGCAGTAATAAATCTTTTTCTGTTTCTTCTTGTGCTAATCGTCTCTTATGCCTCGAAGAAATATGATTGTTATTCCTTTTATCCATAATAACAATTATTTATTATAACGTAACCTATAAAAATCATCAAATACGCATTAATTGTACAACTATTACATACAACACTGTATAGCAATTATTCAAATCTATTACAAAATAAGAACTTACCTTTGATTCACTATTTTATTTACATTTGTTTCTTATCTATATATAGTTGTCAAATCAAACGAAAACTTATCCGTTTCGCGCATATCCTCTACGACGGAATGCTTTATAGTGACGCTAATCGATACGCCATTTTTATGACATATATATTATNATATTTCGTTACATATGTATCAACTNCGTGTTTGATACATTTATACATATATATTATGTGTAATATATCTGCTATGTATTATATACATAATTTGACTTAAATATTTCAAACCNATTGCATTAATTACGTATTTAATACATTATATTTGATATAAAATGACACGCAATGTAAATGCAATATAGTTACCTATCTAATATGTATTTGCAATGAAAGATGCTGTGCGGGTAATGTTTATAGAGATGGTTTAGTATTTTAAAAAACATGATAACATAAAAATCATACGTTATTATGTCACTTTACATATTATACATAATAATTACAAATAATAATAAGTGTATATGTTACTTTTTACAATACTGTTAGTCACAAGCAAACATTTCATGTTAGCCGCGGTTCTTTTGGTGCTTATACACACATTTATCCATATACGTAACGTGTACTNTGGATAAATGTGCGTATATGCATGAGACAGACCGCAGTTATACGCTGTACGCAGCAAGCGCGCAACGTGTCTTTGCCTTGTGGCCGGCTGGAAATGAGACAGAACGTAGTATGTCCACACTCTTCCACGAAACAGCCGAACAGCTGAGCGCAACACGAACAGCATCTCGGTGCTCTCGTACTCACACAAGCGAGAGCCGCGTCCGTGTGCGTGACGTCACGCTCAGTTGTCGGCTTGTGGAAGAGTGCAGACATAGTATGTTCCGTCTTCTTTCCACCAAGCCGGCCACAAGGCACGTACGTAA